TCAAGAAGGCAAAGACCAAAAAGAACGTTGATTTTTACCAATCATGAGTTTGTGTAAATTTTAAATCTGATGATGGCGCTGTTGTCTCGCCGAAACATAATGAAATAAACGGTATTCAAATTTTCACTTCACACTTTGACTGCGACCCAGGAAGGATAAGAATATAATAACAAGATCTATTATTACTTTTGCATTTGCCGTAATATGAATTGAAATATTTTCGAAAACTGTCGTTTAAACATAACAGTTTTGCTTTATAAACCAATAAAGTTTAAGTACATAAACACATTTTTGATTTATGTGAGTGTAACCAATGTGGATTTAGGTTCATCGCAAAATTCCCCAATTTTATGAAAACAATCTCTTAGTTATAAAGAAAGACTTTCTGCCGCACTATTTATATCCTTTCCATTGTATTTGCTAACCATGTTGAAAAAATTTAAATTGAGCATCAATTAATATATTAGAAAATCGATGTTTTAAACACACTGAATGTTTATTTTTTCATCACTATCAGTTCGAGCGAATTTGCGTCAATTTTTTAAGCATTGGCGTCGTTAGGACTGATCGAGTGGATGGTAAACAGTGTTACCAAAAACACAATTTCGGGAAAATTTTGCGTAAAAGGCCCCGGTTTTTTCACAATAAAAATGCAATTTTCAAGCCGACTGCTTTATTAGGTGTTTTGGTCTTAAACTATCATCAGACAAAAAATTCTCTACGTACAAAATGAAATTAACATCGAAATAACGCGCAGTTTTCTTGCATTTGCCACTATTGCAGTTGCGTTTAAAATTTGCTAAATTTAAATTATAAACAAGAATCAAATAAAAGAACAACTAAAGATTATACAGTGACTCCCATAATTCAACGGAATTGTAAATGCGATTTTTTTATAGTAAATTTATTAGTACATACAGGGTGGTCCAGAAACACTTATTTATGTTTTAATGAAAGCACCCGCATTTAATTTTAATTTTTAATTCAAAGTATGAGTTGAGCCGAACGTATTTTTGGACTACAACTAATTTTTATATAAAAAAGTCGCATTTACAAATAAAAATTGACGGAAAATTTACGCATTATTTCTGGGATTCACTGTATATCTTTCATAACTTTGCCACTTTGTTTTATTTTATTTGTACATCAGAAGAAGGATTCATTATATCCTTGCACCATGATAAACACAAATGTTTATCTTTTTACTTACGATTCTGGTCATTCTGTTGCAACATTTCCGGTTGCATCATTCGGTTTCGGATATTTAAAAAAAAACTCTTCATCGACATCGCAAAATACATTCATCCAAGGAATTCAACAATGATACACGATTGATTCTATAAAGTAAACTGATAATGCGAGTTCGAACGCGATCGTCCGCACTCAGAATGTTCCACAACGTTTCCGCAACAAGACCAGTGCCGCCTTCCAGGATGGCCTTCATGTCCGTGTCCGCAACCTTTGTAGCCTCCGGGCATTTTTCCTTCGCATCCGCAAGTCGCCTCCTTGCTACCAGCACTTGAACAGAAACTGCAGCAATGGAACGTTCCATGGTGCGGCTTAAGGCTTCGAACTGTTATGGGAAATGGACTTCCCTAAAACAAATATTTTCCTGCTTTTTTATAACTCACGAGATCTGGCGGAAATGTGATTTTTTGCATGAAATTCGTGAGTTTTTTTGTGTGTTCTCACCAGTTTCATCATGAATGGGATTTACGTTACATGGGTTTTACCTGGATGTGTTCTCCGTTAACTTTAATGATCAGTGCTAGCTTGGCAGCCACATCAGGAATGAACGATACTCCATAAGTTCCATCTCTATTGTCGTCCACATTAACAATCAACGATCGGGAAACTCCAGCTTCTCTATGTCGAATTTCCGCCGTAACAGTTTCTCCACCTCTTTCCAGTGGATGTTCTTTGCTGTCTTTGGTTTCCAGACGCACGTTCACCTTCTTGCCCACTCGCAAGTTCTCTAAATCTGAACAGGGCATTAAACGCTGCTTGTAGCTGAATGCTAGATATTCAATGGATAGAACTTAACTGTTGGGAATAGCTAATTTAAGATAAAAATTGATGGATCAATGGAAATGAAACCAGTTGGTCTTAGAGTGCAGAACCGCATATATTAACATTCTCACAACAGTGTAAAAGTATCAAAAAATATAGGCTTTTTCGAGGTCATTCCTTGAAACTAATGGGTTTTTCGGGTTTTTAGGCCGTCGTTAGGTAGAATGTATTCCTGACGTTTCGCAAGCACGAGTGGCTTGCATCTTCAGAAGTGGTTTGCTTGAACGCTTACACTGTTCTCATCAGAACCCGC